CCAAGGAAGCTCGATCATTTTTGTCTATCGTCAAATGAGTCATCCGAGTGGCCTGCTTCAACTAGCTCGACCTGTATATTCTCGTCTAAGCCGAATCGTTAGGCGAATCGTTAGCCGTCTCTGTTCCGTAGAACGAAGTTGGCGCGACTCTCGAACGAGTTCCGCTGAACGTCACCTTTAACCATTAAGGAACGCGTAGACGGAACTGAACTTCCGTGAACCGAATTGGAACGCCCCGGCAAAAGTTTCCTGCGCCTATATATAGGCTTTCGAATCCCTGATCCTAGAGAGGAAACCCGATATTCGAGATTATTATTAACACCAGAACCAACGGGAGCAAGTTTATTTGACCCCATAAGCGGCGAGACTGTTTTTAAAATTACTCGATCGTTGAACATGTTGTTAGAATTTTTAATCGCGACACTCCCTGCGTATCATACAGCAATTCCAACCACGCATCGGCCGAACATTCACAAACTATCGATCCAACAAATTCACGAAGAGTTTAGTCGGATAAACGATCCAAGAATCAACGAAGCGATTAGCCCCCCGAGGGAGTATGAAATATGAAAGTCAGCTGGCTTGTAACGCGATCCAACGAGCCGAAGGAAACAGTCAGCTGAAACCGTCACCATTAGCATTTTTTGCTGTCGCGAATTAGCATGCTGCACGCCGATGACTAGCGAAGCCGACGATTTAGGCCAACGATCGACGACGATGGCGGTCGTCCTTGCCCAGCAATGTTGTCCTGGCGCTCGAATCGTCCACGTGACCCGCTTTTTTCTAGGATGTGGGACGAACTACTAACGTTCCTATCCTATCCTATCCTATTGGCTGGTCTCTCCTACGTTTAGAAATCCACGCATGCGAGAAACCCGAATAGAAACCACAACGTCGATTGATCTAACGGCGGGGTAGAGGGAGAGGAAGAAGCGCGAAGAGCGACGAGGGGGCATCCGTGGATCATGGGGTTCGCGCAACTATGAATGCTAATAATAATGTAACCGAATACAATCCGCGCATACCGAGCAGAGAGCTATCGATGCAGCGGTGGATGAATGTAGTGGTGAATGTAGAAAAGGTGTGTTGTGTTTGGAAAAAATGTTAGGAAATTAATCTGCTCATCCTAGAAAGTAGAATTGAAACAAAAAAAGTAGCATAATTTCGAGAGAAACTGCAGTTTCGTTCGTCCGATAGTCCTGGCCTCGAGCTAAACAGTACGTAGAATCGAGAGTATAAAACGATGTCACTACAAACGCGCTCAGATTTGAAGCACGATTGCCAGGGGGGTTCACTGAACGAGACATCGTTCTACAATAACGATAAGGGCCTCGCGTATGCACCATGGGATCGCATCTGCTAATAGAGCAGGGCAGTGATGCTTAACCACTATACCCAGGCGTGCCACTACATCGTGGAGACGTGGACGATGCAAATGAAAAGAAATTACGTCGAAGATGAAGACAAATGGTTCGCGGTACTAGACTCGATCTCCTAAAAGTAACGAGAGGCAAATCAACGGAACGAATCGAACCGTCTCGAGGCACCAACTCCGTAACATTGTAAGCGCATAAAGCACAGGCGTCGACCTCGTTCTGCTTCGAATCTGCGACACGGAGAGATCCCTCCGCAATTTCTCTCCTACTCTAGCCTGTCGATAATTAATATTAATTTCGAGCAAGACATCGCGCTGTCGTGACGCGAGCAACGCTTCCACCGAGCAATCGCTGACGAAAGCAGACGTGAACGTCTCTTTGAACGGGATCGAGAGATGTTTGCACTTCGAGGGAACGCGTTGTCTCTGAATCGAAAGAACTTGCGATTACTCGATGCAAAACTACAGTGAGTCGCTAAAGTAGTCATCCACCTACTATTTTTGTTATCCGGATCAAATGTTACCGATAGTTTGACCGAAAACAAGATTACAGCACCTAAACGTAGCTCTACGTTACCAGCAGAGTGATGCATCTTATCGACTGAGCGTACTACGTTACCAAGCGTTTGTCGCTGCACTACATTGCCGACAGAATAATGTACATTACCAGTAGAGTATTCTACCTCGTCGACCAGGTAAGATAGGACACGCAGAGAAGGAGTTTCCAAACTGCAAGGGAGTAGAATTGCGATTACATTTTCCACGCTCATCAATCTGAACCGTCCCCTGTGGCGCAGTATGAAAATAATACCTGCGAAAACAAAAGTAACGAGGAAAATAGCGAGTGGTCATCGAGGCGTGTAAAAGGACCTGATTGTGCGACTCTATTCTGGCAGGAATGTTCACACGGAAGATCGCCTGGTATTCCGCACGGTCGTTCGGTCAGCCTACGCGGAATCGTCGATTAGCCAATTCCAGTTGATGCAAATGACGCGCAGCGATCGTACGACCGCCACTTCCGACGTATTATGTAGATATTCGCGGCGCGGACGGAAATTTCGGCGTAGAAAGCCACCTCGCCTTCTGGGCGTTTTGCTTTTCAAATCGATGGTCATGATTCACTTCACGCCGCCGGTCAGAACGACGCTGCCAGAAACTTCGTCGTGGAATTCTTCAATTTTTACGATGCGCAGCGATCGACGTGGATTCTTGCGAAACGATAGATCGATCGAAACGTGGACAGCATTCCGAATATTGAGAATACATTAGGAGGAGGGGGGGGGTGGGGGGTGGGGGAGGATATTGGCTCACCTTGGGGATTCAATTTATAAACACCTACAACGTTGCAAACAAAATAAATCAACCCTCCTGTCTCTAATTTAAATACGGTGACCAACTTAAGTCGTAACGCGTATAGTCGCTGGAAGGGATCTTGCGAGGTCGTAAACCGAAACAGTAGTTATTGCTTGATTGGTCCAGGTAACTGATCCGTAGAACGACAGGGGCGTCGCGGCTCTAAAGTATACATGCCCACGTTACACCCCAGGGCCCCAAGACTTGATGTTTGCTACGCGGATTTTTCCAAATTGGAAAAACCGAAAACTTTATAAAACGAAATAGTCTTGCGGTAATCGATTCACGCATTACAGAATTATGTGTGAACATACGTAAGAAGAAAAAAGTTATGGAAATATGAACATCCTAATTCTGATACCATACGGCCCTGTACGAAAAGTCTAGCCCTTGTCTAAAAAAAAGTGTCAGATTACTAATTGCGGTCGACTTAAGTTGTGAAGATCGATGTCCGACCGACTTTACGACCTCACAAGATCCCTTCCAGCGACTATACAACCCCTGAAAATGGCTAATTAAATCCAGAGTCGGTTCCGTGAGCGCTTTGCACTTCTCCGTCATCGAGCATCGCCTGGTGGCGTGCAGAGACAAGGAAAGGTTACACGACAGCATTAAAATCCCGCAGTGGCGAAGGCGTTAATGGCGGAGCCGGGACGCGGCAACGCCTTTTTGCGATTCGCGACGCGACACGGCCGGGCTTGGCTCGCCTTTTCCCTCGTTTTTTCACAAAGCCAGCCGCACTTTCATCTTCGGGGGCAGAGATTCAGCCGGGTGACTTGCAACACGCGGGGCTGACAATGGCCAGACCGAGAGAGGCTCTCGCCTCGAGTCCTGCACGCATAGCGTCGGATAAGTGGTTCGACCCGAGCGTCGACCAGCGCAATGCGTGAGACCCGTCCGGGAGGAGTGCATACTGCAACGAGATTGCGTTGATTCCGCTGCGAGATAGAGCGCCGTGATAGATGAAACCGCGAGTGCCAGGATTGGACGGGTTCAACTGGCAATTAGACCGGACAATCCCCTTCGGTTAACGATGCTGACGGTTTTAACGCTAGAGCTACCGAGGCGCTTACTTGGTCGAACCGGCTGGACAAATGTCAATTTTGTCAAACTAATTCCTAACAAAAATTACTAGCTGTTGAAGTAGCACTGAGCATTTCTTAATACGTGACGTGTATTGTAGGAAAAAGTAACGATAAAAAGCAAAACGACAAGATACGCGAGCGATAAGGCAGAATACTGCGTCGACAGTGTAGTGCACACTATCGATAAGGTAGAACGCTTAATGGATAATGTAGAATCTCTGTTGATCCCTCCGTTGATAAATCAGTGCACGACTAGTAGAAATAAAAATCAACCTAACGAACACTCTCCTCTCAAATTAACCTTGTTAAGTCAGGTTTTGCCACGCATTCCTTTCTGTATGCAAAAGGAATGCGTCTACGTCTATTTATTAATAACATTGTAAAAACGATTACTAAGAAAGATTCTGCGAAAGAGTAGAACATTAGAGTGACGGAACAAATTCAAACACTCCGTCGGTTAATTGCGCGAAGAAATAATTAAGCTATTTACCGCATGCAACCGGGAGACCCGCTAATTAGGCATAGCAGCACGCAATGCAAACACGTTCGTTGACGCGTGCATATGCGTGCAGCGACATACTTCTCCGCATGCCGTTCTTTCGTCTCGCGGTTTCAACACCACCAATTCTGCCGTACCCTGACCTTCTAAAAATAGGTCAGTTTTGGGAAATTGTTTAACGTGAACCCAGCATAATGTAGAAAGTTCATATTTAAATGCAGGATTGCGTACACTTGTATACATATTTGTTTTTCATCAAACATTGTTTTAATTGCTTCGTGAATATCTTTAAAAAGTGAGACTACCATCATCGATACAGCAATGCCGAAGAATATCGATATCCAGTAAGTATAACTAAATCTTCGTGAATATTGTACGTCGCTGATACGAGGTGTCCTATAATAAACCACAAGAAGTTCGTTGGACTGTCGATTAGAGCTCAGACAACTCGAGATCCGATTTAAATAACTATTTCAGAAATACTCTACACGCGAGAGGTAGCATATTTTTAAAGATCTGTACCTGGTGGGCACGGCAAGCCCGCTCCATAGTTTTTCTAGGATTAGAATGCAACCAATGGGACCACGTGATAATACCGGAAATAGATATCGTAAAACCGCAAAATGCAGCCTCAAGAAACAATCTAAAGTTACAAAGCGAGTAGTATGGAAGGAAAGTCGAGACTCACCGCATTGCTCGTCTCCAACGAGGAAAGGACGCACCGCCTGCAATCAAGAGATGGACAATCGATTAATATCGGAGTAATTAGGTTAAAGTTCAACGTGGAATTGAGCTTGGATGAAAGAAAAGATTGCTATCTGGAGGCGCAAATAGGAGTCAACTACGAACGAAGAGAAACACTCGCCACTAATGAAAATAACAATAAAAATAATTTGAATCCCTCTGAAACGATGAAACAAATTGTTTCTAAGACTAAGAAGATTAATCTGACCATCCATTCATTTCATACAAAATTCATCTTCGGAATTCAGATCAAATATTCTTTATCGAGATTAAAACTGCAACTGTTTGATGGAATGAACGTTCCCAGTGAATTGCTCCACGCTGGTTTTATTCGTTTGCTATTATTCGAATAAAACCCGTCTTTGTCGAAAGGAAACACACGTGGCCTGGCAGAACCCAGAGCTTGCTTTCATGACACGCTTGAACGTGCGAAGGGTTGGCCTGACACGTGCGTAAAAAGGCGACGTTTAACTCGTAAAGCCCTTTCTTTGTCGTTAGCGCAACGCGCGATGCGTTTAACGAATACGTTTACCAACGCACAATATGGCGCACAAGTCAGACTCGACATCAAAGAATGTCGTGATACTTGTTTTACTTGTAACATTTTTATAAGTTACGAAACTGTCTATTATATATACAAACATATATTAGGTTGTCCAGAAAGTTCGTAGCAATTTCTAAGAAAAATTCAAAAACACGTTTGAATTTTTAATATATATTTATTGAATTACATACGTGCCATTTTCTTCTACAACCTTTCCACTTTTTAAGGGATGTATACATATTATTTGTTTTCAACCACTTCGATACATTCAGACCTGTACCATCTACCAAAAATCGACACGGACTTTCCGGACAACCCAATATTACTTTATACACTATATTATACCAGTATGTTATTACATTTATTTTCTCGAAGCGACTACTACCGATACATGATCGATCTCTGCTGCTACTTTCACCGTATGGATAAACTAAGGATCGAACGCACAAAAACGAGTGCATAAAGCTCTGCATCGTTGCTTCGAGAACAAAGTTCATGCTGTATTAGAGTACTATCGCAAAGGAGAAGCAGCTCAAAAGCTGGTTGCGCGACGACGTATTTATCCAGACAGCGGACAAACATACTCGCTCGAGTACCTGGCACCTGCTCACTTTTACAGACTTTCAGAGTGGTGCGCGGGGAAACCGAGTGAAATTGTACGCAAACCCAGACAAAAGGTGAGCCTTTGACATTTTTTCCTACCCCTTTTTACATCTCGACTCGGTTCGCGCGCGCTTTCGTCATTCGGTAGATCCAATTTCGCCACGACATAATCATTTATGTAGCTAACAACTTTCTATGCTTCGTTATGTTAGTTATTATATTATATATAATAATATATATATATATATTACATATATAATATACATTATATACATAATATATATACATATATATATGTATATAAATATGTATATATATATATTATGTATATAATGTATATTATATATGTAATATATAATATAATTGTAATATGTAATATATATGTAATATATTGTACATTAAAATATTATAAATTATATTTTCTCTGATTCTTTTTAGGTATTTTTTTTTTAACCAGAACGAATTTCAGACTTTCTGATTTCCCCTACTCCGACCACTTGATAACCCATCCTCGATGTTTTGGATGCACTCCAATTACAAAATCACAGGAATGTGTCTATTCCTATACGCGACTATCGATAGCCGATACAGATTTGAAGCGAACGAGGCTGTCGGTACAGCGCCAAGCGTACGCGAAATCCGAAATGCTGAAATCACCTATTACGTGCGCTCGTCGGCAGCCCGATTCGATAATTAGAAATTTCATCGTGTCGACGCGATATTTGCGAGTCGAACGAGTTGCATTTGTACGAATTGCGGGGAACGCTGCCATGCATAAATAACGCCGGCGTGTGTACGCAAAGTGTACGGGACGACAACGACGACAATGGATACAGTCGATCGCGTGAATAAACACTCACACATGCCCACACGCTATTTATCTCACGTATGCTCGCTCACCTCGATACAAATCGGCAAGCAGGCAGCGGGCCGTCACAACACGAGTGTCGTCGCATCTCCTCCCACCACGCCACGATCGTCCTCTTCCCGTTCATTCATTCCGCCTCCACGCGACGCCGTTGCTTCTCTTCGAACAACGTTCGAGACATTAGCAGACGACACAGCATAGTTATGACGGTCTGGTGCGCATCGGCGCCACACTCGACACGACACCGTGTAAAGTACGTTATCGTCGTCCAATCGGGCGCGATAAACCGAAATCACATCGACCAATAAGAGATTACGCCCCAGAGGCACCGCGTGACGAAACGAGATTCACGTCAAACCGACGCCATTCGCGGACTGTTTACATCGCGTCGGCGATCGCGATACGGCCGAAACGACTGCTTCCATGCAGGGCCGGCTTAAGGCGTTGGGTTAAAGGAGCTACGAGTCCGAAGGGCCACTGGATATTCAGTGCCAAATTAGTCACTTTTCGATGCTGAATCAATTTATTAATACTCTACATTATCTATTTAAAACAGGGGTCGATTAACCCCTTTTCGTCGCACTTGCTCCATTTCCTGGAGACCTGCGCGATTTTAATTAAACTCTGATCACTGTCAGTTATCAACATACTCTGAAGTCTGTTCTCGCATTCTGTATCTCCGTTATCATAGTGTGCGAAGGCTGGCTGATGTATGAATGTTTATCCAATACGACGTTCGGTGCAGGTTAAAGCTGCGTAAGGACCTCCACTCACGGATAGGACTGTCCCACATGATCACCTGTTTAAACAACCATCATGTTTCCAGTAGAATTTCGCTAATTGAATCGAAAACCAGTGTTTTCGCCGTTATATCCACTTTGCAAATGCGTGTTCGCGTGGCGATTGGATTTGTTTACTGGTGTTTTCATGTAGATTCGTATCATGACATTTGTCGTTATAAATATGGCGAGGCGATTTAAGCGGCCCCAATTGTAAATTATTTGCGTTCGCAGAAGTTGACGGAAAACGGAAGAGATAAAATATTGAGAAAACGAAGAAAAGAGAGATACTATTTTGAAGAAATAACGATACTCTGTCATTACCCGTATAAACACTTTCTTTTAAAACGATAATAACAGAAATACTATACTATACAGAATATACACAATTTTTAATCAAGAAAATGTTTATAAGGTATAAAGAAATAAGTATTACATGTATACTTGTGTACTAAAACAGCAAGAAATATTATTCTTTTCTGCAATTCTGTTTACATGTAAACAAGGTGTAATAACTTACTATATATAAAATACATTTACAGTTTTCAATCAAGTCAATCTCGATAAATTCTTTGACGAATATGCTTTTATTTGTTCAGAATCAAAGACATCAGAGTATACATAGATAGAGTAGAGGACCATCCGAATTGCAGAGAGACAACTTGTCATGACAAATCGAACGAACTTTTTCTCCAATCTAATATGATATCTCCGTGGATAATGACCGCGAAAATCACATCACAAATCGACGTATGTCATGTCACAAAACTGTCATCGAAAGATCGTGACTAAAACTCGTGGCTGGACCGTCACGTGAACACGCACCTTTATTTACACCGACGGAATAAAAATAGTGTCACGCATGCACCGGAAGATCGCGCTACTCTTCAAGTCCGGTGGGTCGAGACGGCGTGACGTGAACTCGCCCCACGGCGAACAAGCTCGTCAATAGGAGAACAGCAACGACGAGGAAAAACCACGAGCACTCGTAGGCGAAATGCCCGACATCGCGGACGAAACTGTCGTAGATTGTACGCGGTACACGCGACACGTTCTCAAGGATGTCGGTGAACGTTTCGCCGGCGACTTCGCCGCTACCGCAACAGCCGAACGACATTTGACCGTTTTGAGGAGCCAGCTGGTACCTCGGACGTTCCGAATGTGACAAGTATGACGCGTCGAGGTCGACGAGTAAACAGTAAACACGTAGTAAGAATACCGGGTGTTTTATATGAGACGGATCGCGACCAAACAGGCTGGCTAAGCGAGTTTTCGCTTTCGACTGAAATCGAATGTTCCTACCGACTAGCCGGCTGTCGACGCGATGGTGTGAGTACGCGCGTACTTGGGCGCACGCGTGTAATCATAGTATGCGTCCGTCGCGGTATAACATGTACTAGAGCTCGGAGTTACTTTCGAATCCTCCTGTATTCGAATATCGATATTGGATTATCTTTATTCGAGAGATTCGCGATATTGGAGCGATGCGACTTTTGTGACTTACGTACTCAAAGTTTACTCATAATACTCACAAAAGTCGGTTCGGGTACATGGAGTTTTATTGTATTCGGCTAGGTATGAAATATTCGAGTATTATTTGGATAGGCTTATCCTTACACCATTCATCAATATCCCAGTATCGTGTGTCCCGAGATGTCCCAACAAGTAAACCGTAGCCTGTCTCGGGCTCGCGTTACAAAACGCCAGTGTCGACGAGATGAGTCGACCGATTGAATTACGCGCGCGACACGCGCGCACTATGCTCCACGATGACGGACACATATTTTCGATTTACCTTTACGGCAAAACATCGCGGTAATAACCCTGTATATACGATCTGTCGATAAGCTCTTCCGTGGCACAAGAGTCCTCAAGGTCAACGCAAGGTTTTGTAGGGGACATTGTAGGGTTTTGTACGTTTGAATTGAAGCTGGTATGGACTTATTCGAAAACCGAATACATACTAGTCGAAACATTGGCGTAATTTCAAAATGAATAAGGAATCATCCTATCAAAAATGAAAGGAGCGAAAATGAAATTTCTTCTTACAAGTTTACAGGCCCTCGATAACAGGACGACTTTAAATGAAACGCAACTTCATAAAAATGAGAGTGCAATAATTGGAAAAATTATGAATACAATATTCGTAATGAGTCGTATGCTTACATTTGGGGGAAGAGTTTTAATCGGAGTCGTGGCTATCATCCGAGGTCCATGGAAGCGGTGGAATGCCACTCCACGACTGACTGTGAAAGTTGTATTAATTACAGCCTTTTAATGCGTCGACATTTTTTCACCCCGGTTTTTATATCTTTTCGGGAGGAGAGCGGGAACCGATCGTATTCCACACGAAAATACTCTCTCGCTGCTTACCCCGGGCCATTGAACTTCCATATCCTCGAGTTATCGAAACTTCATTAAAGCTACAATTGCTTAGAAGAATTTTCATGTGAACGTTCATATTAATGGCTCAATTTTATAATTAAAACTTTAGAAGATACAAAAAATAAATATCATACGTATTCTTGCATATTAGAACTGTTTTTGTATTACTGTAAAACCAAACAATTTATTCATACACTCTGATTTCTTTGATTCTGAACAAATAAAAGCATATTCGTCAAAGAATTTATCGAGATTGATTTGATTGAAAATTGTAAATATATTTTATATACATATAGTAAGTTATTATACACTTATTTACACGTAAACAGAATTGCAGAAAAGAATAATATTTCTTGCTATTTTAGTACACAAGTATACATATAATACTTATTTCTTTATACCTTATAAACATTTTCTTGATTAAAAATTGTGTATATTCCATATATACAAAGTTATCACACCTTATTTACATATTCATAGTCACACAAAAAATACTTAAGATTTTAATTGTTTTAAAACCTACAACAATTGTTACAGAGCAGGATTGTTTGATTTGGGGAATGAATTACAACAATAAGATAATATTTAAAAGAACTCTTCCAGACTCAAATACTGCTTAAACACTAATTGGAAAGTTACTTAAACTTATGCTTACACTTAGCTTAATTTAAAGAATTATGTTATTATTTTTTTTCTTCATTCAGATTGTACTTTGTTTTTAATTTATCTATTTCCTCCATCTTCTTATCCACATCAACTCGTTTAAATGCTTTATTGCTTTGATAGTATAAAACTACCAGGTAGCGATTGCAAACGTTAAAGCCACTCAAATGATCGCATGCATTCTTTGCATCAAATATGTCTTCGTAAACGACAAAAGCTGTACCTCTAGTTTCTGCTGTATTACCCCTAAAAGGATAAAATCTTTCAATGTAGTACTCAGCAACCTGTATATTGTAGCTTTAAGCAATGATTTCTTTGTAATAATACTTAACAGTATATGATTCTAGCAACTTTTTTTTAAGTATTTACAGATGTTTTTATTATATTCATATTTACAAAGTAGAAATACAGATCATAATTACTTACACTCTGATTTGCCTAATGGCTCCATATTTTCCAAAGATATCGTACATTTCTTCGGCCGTAATTTTATAGGGCAAATTTCTTATATATAGTACTCTATTCACCTCTGGAGGTAACCTCACCTTAAAAAAGAATCGTAGAAAATAACAAACATGATCGAAGAAGTAAAATAATTTATGACATAGAAAACGTTTCACATTAATTTATACAATTACGTTAGACTTCCGTTGCAGTATTGCCATAGTCATGATTGAAATATAAAGGTTTTTTCTCGTTTATGCAGAAAATACAATCGCAGAATTTGTTTCTTTAGACGACACTGAAATTACTCATTCAACACTGAACAGTGCTCTTAGTGACCACTGTTGCCATCTGAAATTCACTCTTTCCCCCACGATAGGGAAAACTAGAATATTTGGAGCGCGCAAGTTTCCTTTCCGTAGAGAACAGTTGGCGTGATTTGGCGGTATATAGTTGTTTCATTATTCATAAAGTAGGATGCCTTTTAGAAAGTAATAAAGATAGTTTCGTGTCACGCGAAATAATAAATAATAGGAATGAAGTACTTGAACCCTACATACGATCCTACTGAGTAGTGAATAAAATTGTTCGCATTCTCGTCGCTAGATGGCGTCACTAATTCCAGTTATGTGGCAATTCACGACGCCCTACTTTACCAACAAGTAGTTGAAAAATAAAAAATACTAATTAAAAGCTAAATTGACTCTAAATACTACTTTTAAACGGACGCGATATTCATTATACGCAACACTAATTGGAATCGCGGTTGATCTTTATTACTTTGTGGCTTATCATCGGAGTAGCTCTGCGTTGTGTTGCTTATCATCGTAGTTGCTTTGCATTACCATGAGTTTTTAAAAGTTTTAAATGAAACGTTAACCGTGATTGGTTGTCACTTCTTAATATCATTTCCGGTCCTTTTCAACGGAAATTGAAACTGGAAAGTGAAAAATATCAATATGTATGGTACATATATGTGACCTAATCGATATAAACCTTTACCTTAACGTTCGAATACTATGAAATATATGTTGCATATTATAAAATGCACTTATCATTACCCTTGTCTGAGAAATTTGTTTACGTTTAGTAACCTTACTAACTTCAATAGATGTTCACAATCGATTTCCCATCACTTATCTTTTCATGTAGATAACTACACACAGAACCGATGCACCACTTATTAGAACAACTTTATTAGCTCTTTCCTAACCTAAATTATGTATTTATTTGTTATATACATATCTTATTCGTTCCTATTTCTATTTTTATTCAACTGTGTGCATGCTTAGAAAGAGAAGCTTATATTCGCTTTTTTGCGAGTTTGTTTATGGGAAGAATTATCAAGGAAAAAATAATTGGTCTAAAAATTACGTTCGAAATTTTTATTCGTAGTAACAATACTCCGAAACAAACAATTAAAAATGGTACTAGTGATTGGCATTATTTACTTGCAATATCATTTTCTTTAATTTTGTTTTATTCGACTTCGCATCATCATTACCATTTCATACATATTTACTTACAGTTTAAACATGTAGAAATTACATTTTTTTTTTTTTTGATAGAATGTATTGATGCTCGATCACCCAGTTTAAAAATTTACTTTATCCAAATTCTTAGAAATTACTTAATACATTGACACATTGAATAATTATAATTGAAATACGACGGCAATTTCTCTGATTTGTTTTTGGACAATCGTGTTTAATATATAAGACGTACGCAATAATGTATTCATCAAAGTAGATATTGCTAGTGGAATGAAGAGATGGCACAACAGACCAATGCCTGATTGTATTAGAACCGTCATATAATTTCTACGAAGAAAGCTTCGTTAGTAATTTATACTTTGTTAAAAGCTGCAATATCCACACTTTGTACAAAGTCTTCATTTTCTTGTATCTTTTCCGTAAGCCAATCTACGGAAACTTTTTCGTCTTCTACAACACACGAAATCTGAAGTTTATGGATTCCAAAGGCAAGAGGAACAAGTTTTGCTGAAAAGAAAAAATTATTTTTATCCTTAATTTAAATTATATATTAAATTGGTTATAAAGTGACACTCGATATTCGTAACTCACCCGCTCCCCACAAGAGACCATCAGTTTCAATTTTTCGTACTTCGGATTCCATAGCAGCCATATCAGTCTCATCATCCCACGGTTTAACGTCTAATATTATGTTCGATTTTGCTATCAAAGCTGGTTCTGTAAGTTGTTATTATTATTATTATAAAGATATAATGTAATTATATTTGAAATGCAAGTTTAGTATACAACTTACTTTTAGATTTTTTCGCGGCATATGCAGCCAATCTTTCCTCCTTAATTTTTGCAGCTTCTGCATCTTCTCCCTAACAAGTTAAGTATTTGAAGAATTTACAGCACAGATCATAAATAACAATATTTATATTTTAATAGTTGTACAATAGTATTTCTGTTGATTTCATGTAATAAATAGAAAAATATAATTGAATGCATTGGTATTCTGGGAATATCTGGTGTACTATGTCTTGTAAATATCGTCCAATTTATACATTTTTACACCCTACTTGAAAAAACGTATAAAATGTACTAAATGTATAAGTATCGTGCAGAAATGACTTCAAATATAATGGAAGGAGATTAACTGCTTAGTGTCTTTTGCAGTATTTCTGCCCACTTGCCTCTGAATCTGAACCAAACAAATCAACATCGTCGTCATCTTCAGTTTTTTCTGGTAATTTTTTTGGAGTTGGATCACAATTCTGACACGAAGTTTGATTAGATTTGTCTTCAAGATCTTTCACACGTGCCGCCAGTTTATTAATGATATTACGCAATTCTTCGACGACTATTACTGAAATGTTATAACACAGAAAACGTTACATTACCAATAATGTAATTCAACAGCAATATTCATTGTTGTTGAGTAAATTCACATTTACTCAATAATAATTGAATAAACAACATAATATTTACCAAGATCTGTGTTATCCTTTTTGGTATCATTTGGGGTGGTAAGACCAGCAACAGTTGCAATATCGTCCATCTGTAAAATAATTGTAATAATATAATAATAGTAAACAAATACTATAATAGTATATAATAGTAATACTATACTAACCAAATATGATGAAACAAATGATTTATTAAAGTTATAGTTCATTTTAACAAAAACAATGAAATATTACGCCCATGGGTTTGCATCAATATTCGATATTATATTAGTAAGCAGGTTTGAAAATTTGTTATATAAGGGTGTGCAAAGGGTGCAGTACTCACACACTGTAAAGATTGTTTAATATGTTGACGAGCCTTGGCGACCTCATTGGCTAAACTTCCACCAGCAGATAAGATTGGACTAGTAGTTTGTTGATTTCCCTGCATCCACCAATATTAAAGGTCAACTCAGACCAAACTGATTGTTATAAACAATCCAATATCATATCTCCACCCAGATTTATAATTAATGACTACATTAAAATTATATAAAATATATAATTATTCTGTATGTACATAAAGTATAAATTAGTCAAAATGAAAACTATTATTTATTATTATTTTTTTTTAGAAGTAACTTTATATAACATTATTTGTAGTCTAAATAAAATTTTCAGTTCATTACTGTAAATATTCTAGTGTAACCAGGTGGAGATAGAAATTCTGAATGTTCAAAAAGTGAATAAATAATAAGCACAACAAACGATTTGACAGCATACTAACAAGTACTAATTGGTATTTACTACAAAAGAAAATGTTGCAAACAGATGTGTTAGTATTATATGTAAATATGTTATTCAACAACAAACCCAAGGCCATGATAAAATGTATTTTCTAATCAACATACGTGCGCTACAATCTCCTTTTTTTTTTACAAAGGAAGAACATGCATATTGTTAAATCACATAAGAATATGTACATATTATTTTTTTTATGTACACACACAATATTATCAAATGTAAGATTCAAATAACGATATAGATTTGAAAGTATTCAATGAAATAGTGATCACAGTTTGTTGCTAATGTGATAGAAAAAAATTAAAAGAGTATTTAATATTTAATAAATATTTAAAAATATTATAAGCAGATTTCTACAATAATCTAGGCAATAAAACTTATATTATGATGAACTAAATACAATTCTGTAAATACTACATTGATGCAGACAAATTTTATTAATATATCCATTACAATATGTACCTGATTAGGTAATTGTTGTATATTCCTTATTAGTGGTGTAATATTTTCTTTCATTTCCTTAATATCATTATTTCCTTTTCCCCTATTTCTATGTCTAGATTCAGCTTTGTTCTTTTTTCCTTTTACTTTTGTATTACATTTCTTAGACACGTCATTTGATGGGCTAGTCTCTTTTTCTTTTATGTCATTGTTAACATTATCAGACTTTTGGTTCTCATCTACATTTTCCTTCTTTTGCATATTGTATTCATTCTCGCTTTTAGTCGTATGTGAGAATGAGACTTTTCTTTGATTTTTAGGATATTTGAGAATGTCGTTTTGTTCAGTTTCAGAAATCAATAATTTATTATCTTCTAATTTCTTAGACTTTGTTTCGGATAAAGAGTTACTGTTCAAAATATCTTGACAGTTATTACTTATTGAAATTTCAGATTTAAGCGAGCAGCTTTCAATAATTTCATGAGACACCACCTTCAAACATGTTTCAAGCTATGCAAGTGGAAATTGATGTCTTGCAATTAATGTATAGAATAAAAATTAAATGAAGCATGTTTCTGTTACATGCTAAATAGAATTCTTATCATCCCAACAAAAACAACTTTATAAATACTTTCAGTGAAAGTGTCATGCAATTTTTTAACTCCTTGAATATGTAAATACATTAAACTATATTGTTGTGTGTAACCATAAATATAAATAAACAAATTGAAAATTGCATTGCAAGTTGTATGTTCTTACTTTTCTGTTGCTAATATGTTTACCACAAAAGCTTTGTATTAAAGAAGATATGCAATACCACATAACTTATTTAAGTATTCAACAAGGAGAGGAATGAAGTTTTTATGAGAAAAATAAAATTTCCAAGACTTTGTGTAATTACAAACAGACAAAGTGTTCCCTATCACCAGATATTCCCTGAAGTGTGTTAGAAAATGTTAAGTTTTTGTTAATAGAGAAAAAAACACAAGGCATAGCAAAAGGGCATACATTAGCCATAGATGTTGGGGCTGTGATTTAAAGTTCTCTGTTTATAAACATACTTTTAAGTACTATAATTTTCAATAAAGTTCTACTCTAGTTTCACTGTAATAAAAATAAATAAAAACCAAATATTTTTTATATTTGTTGTTTTGTATGTTTAAAAACATTTATTCTACCCCAATTGACAATCACCTTCATGAATCCAATAACATTAATATATAATTCAGCAATAAAAATACTTACCTTAGCCATTTTTTCAAAATACAGTCGTTCTGCTTTATCATAGGATGGCTTGTCGAACCATACCTTCTCTTGTGCTAATGCTGATTTTTCCATCTTTTAAGGATTTATTTAATAAGTGAAGATGCAAGTAAATTTCTGTAACATGAAATTTGACCTTAAATTTTTTTTAACTTCATCATACAAAATTATTCAATTTTTCATAGATTTTATTTGTACTTGTATAACTATGATTTATGTGTTTATAACTTAAAAATATCTGACTTTAACAGCATAGCACACATTAGAACACAGATTATGTAAGATTATATATTTAAACATGGAAAATAAAAATGTTGAAGAAATTCAAATCATTTTTATTTATTGAAAATACAATCTTTTTAATAATATGCATAAAATATATAAGAATGATATACAATTGTCTTTTTGTTAATATATATCTATATATATATAAAAATGCTATGTAACAATCTTTTCATCAATCAACAACTTATCAAATAATTATTAATATCCCTATAACCACGTGGTGTGATTTATTCATTAATATAAATAAATAATTTATTTTTCATTGATAAAATAAGTAAGCATCATGTGCTATCATCATCACTATTAAAATATTCAGACTTAAAGGAAGATTTATTTGCTATTTTATGAATAGGTAATTCTAGTTTATATATTTGATTAATCGTTTTTTGTTTATCTGATTTTCCTCTTATTTCATCCAATAAACGATACATTTCCTTTTCTTTCCCATTTTTAACTACACAGGGATGTATTTCTGATGCATTAAAATACTGAATAAATGTTTTGAGCTCATCAAAAGAAGAATGTGTAGAATAGCATACATTGTAAGTTCTCTTTTTTTCTTTATCCCATTCTCCTATTATGCTTGTATCCTTACCTCTCCATTTCATTACAGATGGAATAATAGTCATGATGTGTATATCGAGCACATCATTTCTACATTTTAAACGAGACTTATTATAGTGTTTTGGTGTACAAGCATGAATCTTTGTAGTACTTGGATCATTTGTAACATGATGAAATAATTGCTCGATGCGACAATAATTTTTATACACAAAATCTGTTACATGAATTTTCATATTTAGCATTTTAGAAAGTTCAACAAATAGGAATTCAGAACCATATGTGGCAGAACACTCCAGGGTAACAACATTTCTTGGGTCTGTATGTATCCATTTTTTTATGACACTGCTCATCTTAATTAGACTTTCTTCACGGGTAGGCAAAGAAGGAAAATCACAATCTAAAAAAGTTGTATCCAAGTAAATTGTAGTAAATGTTCTAGGTAATAATTTAGAATGTTTGTAATAATGTAAGTTCTTCAACTTTGGAAAGTCTGTTGGATTAATGCGAAAGTCGCCGGTGTATAATATCGACACATTATTTACTTCAAACATGAACATTACAGAACCTAAACAATGACCAGCTGAAATGGAGGTAACAGAAATGAGCATTTTCTCTTTACTCTGCAGTTCATATTCTATAACAGTGAGTGCATTAATATTTAATTCTTTAACACAACTTTGAAAATCATATTTACATTCTAGTAATGCTTTTGTAATAGGACTACAATAGAGATACTTATTACATTTGTTTAAATACATAAAAAATTCTTTGGATAAACCACTCATGTGATCAGTATGACAATGACTAAGAAAGAATACAGAAGATGATGTTATTAAGTTTTCTCCTTCAAAATGATCCACTGAGATGCCAGGTATCTCCTTAATGAACCCAAGAAAAGTTGACATTCTGCCACATGTATTCCTGTAATTTTAAATCAATCAAGCAAATAGTTTTTTTTGTAGAAGCTATTCCACCTTACTAATAATCTCAATTCATGACATGATTTCTAAGTAAAAAAATCAATTTGGTAAATAAATTAGAAACCATTTTGCCACACAATCAAGTACACACGAAAGCAATCAAACAATTAAAATCAAAGTAACTTATGCGATTTTATCACATACAAGAACTTTATTGAAAGAAGATAATAAGAGTAAAAAATGTTTATATCGTACAAATGAAATCGTGATGTCACAAACAGAAAACAGATGTTTGCGTATTTGAAGAATAAGATCGTAATTTTGTAGGTTATAATCATAAATTGATTGTATATGTTATTAACGACAGAAAGGGATTAAAAGAGGTCATTTACGAACCAATGGACCGACGATCAATTCTATTCCGAACGAACAATCAGTAAATTTCACGTTGGAACTTCAAAAACACGAATCCGCCATGTGTCGTATTGATCGATTAATTCGTTGGATATGTAACGAAGTATAATTAATTTGAGGTTCGCTGATACTGTAAAACGGTTGACTGGACGCGTTGATTATGTACCAATTGAATATTATTAAATATACCTTGACTCGTTACAGATTGTCAGATTGATGCAACAACTGTCTGCTCGCCAAAATCGTTGTAAGCCGGATATAACGTGCTAATTGAAAAGAAATAGACACAGTGGTGTACGAACGGCAATGGAAGATGTCACTGATACAATCGATCACACTGGCGAATTCAACACACTTTTACTATTTAAAATATTTTCAACTCTCGCTGTATTCTTTACAGAAAAATGATATTAAATTAAAAAATTGCTGAATTTTACGTGTGGAACAATTACTGGCTACTAAATATATAGAGCAAGGTTTAAAAAATTATAATATTGATTTTGCAACATTTTTATCTTAAATATTGTACAGGACGTCTCACGTAAATCAATATAAATTATTTCAAATATAAATGAAATATAATTTATTTCATCGGGTAGTAGACAGTTAAAATAGCGATGAAATCTAAATTGATGATTATGAATAGAACTCGAACTATTCAAATAGTTCTATATTCGAATACTTTATAGGTACACGAATTCAATGTATAAGTAAACTACAAATATTGTTAATCAAATAAGAAAACATTAATTTATTTACACTATTTAAATAACACAGATACTCGTGTCATGGATCACGAATCGGATGAATGAAATCAATCATTTTTAGAAGACGGTTAATTTACATCAACATTGTTGGACAATATTGAATCTATTAAACAATTAATAATTACAATTACAAATGTAATTTAAAAAGCAAGGATAACGAACTAATATTTTGTAATAGAATTATATAAGATTTGTTGCATCTTTTTAATACTGCATCTGAAGGAAAAAGTAGGAAATCTAAAAAAAATGTAGACACGTATAAAAGAAAAAAAAACGTGTTTGAAACGACATGCATAAGCAAAATTGTCATAATTATTTATTATTTTCATTATTCTATAAAATATACCCGGTATATATTCGAGTATTACACACAATGTGCAAAGTAAAAAAATTAGCGGTAATTGATTTGTAAGGATTGGTAAAATTACGTTGGTCGTGAAAGAGGTTGTAAGAGGTGGTTTACGACGTTTACGTTTCTAGCAGAAATCAATTTTCAGTGAAGATGACTGCACAAGGATCACCGACCAAATCGAAGGAATTACGTTTGCCTATGTCAAGAGTGAAAACGATTATGAAAAGTTCTCCTTACGTTGACACAATCGGCCAGGATGGATTATATGTAGTCACGAAAGCTACGGTGAGATTAATGCCAGAACATTTTGAGGTTAAGTGACGCTCGATATGGTTATTTTGTATATTTATGTAGTTTCCATACTTGCCGTTTCGCGGTTTACATTTTTGTAATCTCTATATCTATAATACATCTCATAATTCGAAATTCATTCAACGTATAAACGTATTTCGATAACATTTTATGCATGTGCAGACGTTTTTTCGATTTGGACAATAAGCTATTTTATATCAGGTCTTGGAAATTAAAAATGTAAAAATGAAACATAAGTTTTTAATATTTACTCGCTTCAGTTGCCACAATATATAGTACCTACTACTCTCTAATGTAGGCATATTCAATTTTAACGAATTTCTTTTAAACCATCATTATATAATAATAATAATAATACTAACAATACAAAATTGTCTTTCATACATTGTATTTGAATGTGTGCATTTTATGAATTTTTTCAGGAACTATTCATACATTATTTAACAGAGGAAGCACATTTACAAGGGAATAAAGGCAATTCTTTAGATTATAAAAATCTAGCAGAGGTGGTACAAACTAACGATACTTTGGAATTTCTAAGAGAAATAATGCCTAGGAAAATAACAGTGAAACAATTTAAAGAAATGATGGCAGCCAAAAATAGGCACAGTAGCTCAGAGAGTAGTACAGATTCGGACAGTGATAGTGATTCAGAAACAGATTCTTGTACAGACAGCGATGATAGAAAACCAGAGGAAGGGAGCTCGTCAAATAGTGATGAAGAAAGTGAAACAAAGGAGAATGGTAAATGTGACTTGGTCAGTGGAAAGAGTGAGAACGAGAATGAAACTAAAAGATAAGGAAGTGGACATGGAGTTTCATTTACATTACCATAAATAGGTTTAGATTATATAAGGAAATTGCTTATACTTCATTGAAAAAATGTGGTTGTAGATAAATGTTTGGTGTTTATCAGTATTTAATACCATAGATGGAGTAAGAACAATAATTATAGGAATTGAGCATTATTTTTATATGTATTCAATAAGAAAGATTATCACATACTATGTAGGTACATTACAGAAACATTGTAAGCATTTGTACAAAGGAAGGAATTTATTTATTTTTCATAATCTATCAGCCCAAAAAGCTCCTTGCTATTTTTATTTAATTATTGAAACAAATAAAATGCAGATTTCTCTGTGTTGAATGTATCTTTTAGCTGTATCATTTGTTTTGAAAACTTTTATGCCACATTATAGTATTACTTATAGAAATTGCAAAATAATCCATTAATTCTAGAATACACTTTTATAATAATCACTTGTAACATTTTATTCTTGATGTAATTTTTTTGGTATTGATGTTGATATTGTATCATAATCATCCTCGTTTAATTTAATGGCTAAAAAGTAGATTTCAGCCAAGGCTATGATTAATGCACAAATTATACCTAGTAATAATCTAAATCCAAAGTCTAAACTTCCAACAATCAACTCCACCCCTATGAATCCAAAGGCAAAACCTGCTAGTACAGAAAATACAAATTGTGCAACAGCTATGAGTTGCTTATTTATTTGCTTCACTGAAAAATAAATGAAACACATATTTTTATATATATACATATAAATAAAGTTCACCAAAAAAATTATTTATACTTTAATTCAGTAATCTCACTTTGAAAAGAAATAGTGTCTTCTGGTAGTTTTCTTCTAACTGAGTCAACACCTTTGGTCATAGCTCTGTATTCTCTAGCATCCTGTTGTGCTTTCAGTTTCTGTATTCTAGCTTCTAGGTCAGGATTCCGTGGAGTAATTTTTGGTGTTGGTAATTGTATATCTGCCTGTTCTAATAGTTCATGTAAATAAACATTTTCCAGTTTTGTTTTTCTGTGCTCTTCTAGGTATGAATTCAGCCATCTTATGTCATCCAATTTCAATAAAACATCCTTTCGCCTATCTTTACCAGACTTCTTTAAAGCAACAATACCAGATGGAGCATCGTTAGTTTTTTTAATATTTTTAAAAACAAATTCAATTAACTTTTTATTTGGATTTATTTTTATAGAAGTGTCTTCAATTAATTCAATCGGCATTCTTATACTTTTCAAGTACAAATATTCTATTGCTAACAGAATAACATTATTAGGAAATGTTAAATGCAGTATATGTTAAATGCAGAGTTGGAATTACTTTATATTATATTAGCTATTACAGAGTAGAAGAGTAGAAGATATAATAATATAATAATAGATTCTTTATGGTGTAATATGTAACTTTCTTTCTAGATCGTCATAAAATTCTTTTATTTCGTTCTCCTTTTCTTCGAAAATATTATTTACTTTTTCACACTTTTTACTCATATCATTGACAAACTTCTCCCACTCAAATTTTCTTATTTCCCTGTTTTCTTGTAATGCTATATCCTGAAATTATCATAGAATGTATGCATTAGTGACAAATATGAATCTATTCCAAACAATATTCCTTGTATAATAATTAAAGAGTTAGTTAAAATAATTCATACAATGTCAAAATTATGTTCCCTTTGAAGAACTTTCTCGCACATACTCAGTGCAACATCAACATTTGCTTTTAAGCTAGGCAAATGGCAATCCCCAAGTTGCTCTGTTCGATCAAGTTCATTTTCCTTCAATTCTGTTGAGTATTCAAGTATTTTGAAAAGTCGTTCCACCTCCCTGTCACCTCTCTTCTCCTATAAATATAAATCCCCTAATATGTATTTTTAGAGTTAATAAGAAACAAAATGAACAAACAAAAGACTTTGTATGAATATTCAACATCTCAGTCTAGAACCACTTATAAAACTAAAATGTCACGAAGTCATATTGTAGGTTATACTCGATAAGATGTTATCTGAACAAGTAATATTGCGACAACAAGTGTTTTCATTCGTTTTCGTGTATTAGATAACAATTTCTTGCTAGAAATCATTGTGAACAATTTTAGAGTAATACCTTACCTGAAATTCCCGCAGGAAGAAGGAGATTTCACCTTGGGTAAACGGTCGATGATCAAAAAGTCGGCTCCAAATTTCACCGGTGTCTACGAAAACGTCATATCGCGAGTAATATTATAATGAACAGTCGCGATAAAAAAAAAGAAATTTGAAATCTATGAATTTGTAATCAATCCGTATATGCCGCACCTTTAATAATGGCCGCCATGATCTTCAATGATCTTCCATGTAGTCGTGTAGTAGGATAGTACTTCGGACACTTCGGTACATTACTACTACTACACTTGACACTATAGTGATGTATATGAACTGCTTTTGTACATTGTGCTAAATTCAAATATTTCTTATACATGGTGTCCCAACAATGTTGTAACACATTGAAAGGGGTGGTTCGGGAGGTGATTTGAAACAACTTTTCCCTTAGCGAAAATGTTGTCCGAGACTTGGTTGAGGAGATATTAACAGAAAACCCCGATCAATCAGAGCGCGAGTATACCATTGGAGCGGCCGTGGTAGCAAAGGCTACGAGCTAAGCGGCCGCGTCCAATGTCCTTCGATGCACGTCGAGTCACTTGTTCGCGTACGAGCACGGCCGTTTAGCACATAGCCTTCGCTACCGCGGCCGCTCCAACGGTATACGCGCGCTCTGATTGGTCAGTGTTTTCCGTTAATATCTCCTCAACGAAGCCTCGGACAACATTTTCGCTAAGGAAAAAGTTGTTTCAAATCACCACCTGAACCACCCCTTTCAAGGTATTACAACATTTTTGGAACACCCTGTATACTTATGTGGTAAATTTAATATTTATTATTAAAAAATATTTAAAACGTAATTTATGTAATATAATAATTTACAATATACGTTTTTAGAACAATTTTTGTACTAAACAAATGATACCTGTTTGAAATAAATGAAATTCAGAAACAAAAAATTATTGATTGTTGATAACAGGTGCTGGGCTCCACGGATAATGTCTGTGGATCACTCCTTGTTTCGGGAGCCGTATCACTTCTTCACATTTGTGGCGCTGATATCAATTTTGTACGTTTATCACACAGCCCTCTGTGTAGTTTATGGCTTAGTTGCTAAGTAACAGCTTTCAAATGTTTTGGCGGGTAAAATATTTTACGCAGAACCAGAAAAACTTACACCCGAGAGTGTATCAATGCTAAAGAAATATAATTTTCCTGATACTAACGATATGATAGGAAGACTTTAAATAGAGTCGCTTCTGAAACACGAGGTATTTTATCGCGAAGTTGATCCGCGCGTCCGACATCAAATTACTTTCCTTCTCGTGTTACAATAATGCATTCCGTGAATTATCAATTGAATATTTGAGACATCGCGAGAATCGTCCCGTGGGTCCGAATATGCAGCTCACAGTCGATAGTGGGGATATCTGTGGACTATAAAAAGGGACTTCCCTTCGATTCTTTGCCATTCGTGTTGCGAAAGATCGGTATCGATATCGAGCATCGAAACGTCGTCGAGTGCACAATGAATCCCATCCTGCGTTTCACCTTGTTCTTCATCGTTCTACCTGTCACAATGTAACAATTTCATGAATTCTTTTGCTTTCTGTCAGAATTTTTTTCCCGTAATAATATATCTAAAATGGTCCTATTTAAACAGAACAAAAACATTAGATGAAGACCCAAATTAAATAAACCATAATTAATTCAACTAACAATAGCAATTATTAATACAATTATTAGTCTAACAATCTGTGTCTGCACTGACTACTCGTGTATTTAATTTGATTTCCTTATGGGAGTAATAATTTTCGATTATTAAGTTATTCAAATATTTCCCACCATAATTAAAATTAAATGTATTCCATTTAATATTTCATACGAATTACAACGAATAACGCATATCTGTTGGATTCAACCAGACAAGAATCAGTGAAGAATACTACATGCTGGTGCGCCGTATTTCCGGTGGGAACATCAAAATCCATAATCGAACACGGGTTTCAATTTGACACGTGTTACGAACAAGGCGAAGAGGACTGTCGCCAATTGTGCATCGCTGTGGTAAATAATTCATAGATACTGATGTACGTTTCTGTCTTGTGTTATAAGGATAATTGTCGAAATTTAAATATTCTGTACAGGCGAAATCGATGGAGGCCAGAGCGCCGGATATAATTTGTGAAAATCTGATTACCACAATGAATCTAGAGGTGAGTTGTTACAGACAATAACCTGTTGTATTTGAAACATCTGAAATGTGACATTCAATATTATTTTAAGTATCTGACTTATGGTTTTATCTTCTTAGGTCGAGTTGTATTCAAAAGCCTGTAACGCAACGGCATGGAAGTCCACGGAATTGAAAGGAAAAAATCGAATCTGTTGTATTGAGGGGATATCGATACCGTGCACCGAGGATCGAGAATCAATCGATCAATCATTCCGAACCGCGCTTTTCGCGTAACTCCTCGATCAGTCCTCCTTTTGAAATTTGTCAATATTAGTATTTTAGTCGATTGTTCTTCACTAGAGCAAGAACATAATTTGGTAAGAAAATGTAATTGTGTTCTCGGAATTTCAACCATCATTCAACCTTGTTATCTGTATTTTTGATCAAGTTTCGTCTAGGAATAAAATGTACGAACTAAATACTTGCTAAGTTCATTGACGAATGGAAATCCCCTTCATTGTGATTGGTTTTCTTTATATATACAAATGTTTAGCTTTTCGATAGATATACAGGGTGTTCAAAAAAAAAGCGTTCAATATTTATTGTATGTTGTATAGGGCACACTGTACCGAGTAAAAAAGCTTTAGTAAACATAGGTCCAAAGGTCAACCGTTTCTGAGATGTAAACATTTTTGTTTGCTAGTATCATGATTGACTTACTACTGGGTTTTTGATGTTTATAGAAGATTTTCCACGTGTCCACCGCTCATTTCTGTACACGAAATTGAAAAAATGAAATTAATAAACACTGACATACACATCGCATGCGATGGAAGCATATAAGTCAATCATGATACTAGCAAACAAAAATGTTTATATCTCAGAAACGGTTGACCTTTAGACCTATGTTTACTAAAGCTTTTTTACTCGGTACAGTGTGTATATGCGCCAGGCAACTTAAACGGAAGCAAACATAGTTGAAAGCCATTTTTTTGAGGCTTCGATCGAAGATTTCGTCCGCCTGGCGAATTTAATCTGATCAGGCGTCGCGCGTCAAAGGCGCCACTGACCAAAATCGACGGCTTAAAAGGATTAAACGCTGTCCTCCTCTCACCTCAGACTCCTCCTTCGTTCAGAAACGATTATACTTACGCAGTCCGACTCTGGAGTTAGCGTGGAAATACGGAGCACCTCTCACGGATCCCCAGATATCTTCTATTTCGTCAATGGTGTTCAGAGAGCCTCGTCCCAGAAGCCAGTTCAATAGAGGGTTTGTTATCGCTCCCTCGACTTCCTGGAGATGAGTCCTTCGTCGTGGTTCTTCTATATCGACCTTGCCAGCCTTGGGAAGCCATTGTGCGCTCGCGGTTTTGTCGTCCTTTCTTCTCCCGATTTAATGACTCCGCCATTTTCGCGCAAACCCCATCCACCGCCGTCGAAATCTGCTCGACTTCCTGCCTCGCACGAGGCTGACACGATTATTTTCAGAATGGTCCTCTCGATGGCGAGAAATTTGTTCTGAACGATGTTGCGTTTGATCACAGAGGAAAACGCTCGATCTGCACCTCTTCGTTTTGACCTACTTTTTTAGAGGGATAGACAAGTAGATCTTGTTGCCCATCCACTAGTGTGTAGCGAGTAGTGGTCATCGACTTTCGCGTATCCTTTCAAGTAAGATTAAAGAAAAATAGGGGAAATTACTGATGCCGCCAACCCTTTATAATATTATATTAAGTGCGAAACGTAATTTTAATGGAAAAGTATTTCTTACAAAATAAATTAGGTTACATCAGATGTTCGAACTGCGATCCTGTATACGAGACTTTACTAAACTTCTATAAATTCCACAAATTAAATGAACAGTTACTAATGATTATTAGGTAAGAGTTTCGCCCACCTCTGCACAAAACTAGGGGAAGGTATCTTCCGACAAGGGTGTAAAATAAATCTCAATCAGTCGGGAACGCGGATCCGAAGCGGTTTACCCAATAATGTGTCGCGTAATCGAATCTCCGGGGTAACACCGCGTCGAAGATCCGGCGGTTGAGCCCCCGTTTGTGTAAATAATTCTACGCCGGTAGGATAATCAATGCACGGTTATTACCATGTATATACGTCGTTAGTTTGTTAGCCGGGATATTAGTTTCTGTGTGTTTTCGCGCGTGCAAGTGAGCACAAAGGCACCGCGGAATTATACGGGCTCGCAGGGAACGCATCTCGAGCAATCGAATCAACACCTCGTTCTACGCTTTCGTCTTTGGTGCGTTAGGCGTCTTCCGTCTGTGTCCAAGGATTATGAATTCCATTTGTATATCTTCAATTCAGGCGAAACCGATTAGCTCTTCAAGGTCTACAATAAGAAGGTCTACTTTTTCGTAAAAATTTATTAGAGTCGAAACACTGTATTTTCACCTTATTAAATGAAAAATACAGTTTCTCCCACTATCTAGTCTTACCTCATAGATACTAACCTCGAGTCAACACGAATAGAAACACGAGTTGCAAGATGCCAGAGACATCATTTAATTGATCTTTCATTCTGTTTCCTCACTTCGATGTTAATTGTCAACAAGAGACATTTTTCAATTAAGAATCCTCTCCTCTCCTCTCTTCGAGGGTGTCTTTTCGGAGCTACTAAAAACTGTATACCTTCGGCAGGCCATTCGTCCAACATCCGAAGCAGCCTTCGACGACGTCATCGCTCGAAACACGCAGCTTCGGATCATTAATTCAAAGTCACTGGCAGAGCTCCGTATAACGAATACCTCTCGGATGGAAAAAGTGATGAAAATAGATCAGAGACGAAACAGAAATGCTGGAAGCGAAAAAGAAACAGAAATAGAGTTAGGAAGGGTCGCGAGGATGGGACACGGCGTGGTACCAAATTAAGCTCAGCGAAGGAATCCGTAATTAGTTCGTATAAATTATCAGTTTACGGGGGCCAATGGGAGTCACACGAGAGACATATCGGAAAGTAAACGAAGCCCCGTAGACCCGTGAGTGATATTAATATTCATATTAACGGCGCTAATATCTGGAGCGAGAGCTTATGAATCCACGCGTAAGATCTGCGGCATCTAAACAACTTGACGCGCCACTAATAAAGACAAATTGCTTCCTTGGAGTGACACTAATGCTCTAGGACGAGGTAAACTATCGTTTCAGACGTTCAGTGATTGTGATAGCGATCCTCCTATTGCAGGATTCTTAGTAGTTCGCCTTTATCGAACAGGATATAGGTATATTTGATGGGTATCGCCAAAGTTTGTTGTCTAGTCTCCATGTTCTGTTTTCCATGTTGAGGCAACACGATTGCTATAAGATCATCGGTCAGACGTGTACGCGTGTCGCCGACCAATTACTGGCCACGACACCGCTAATGCGTGTGGTCCCTTCCACGTTGCAGACCATGGAGTACACGATTCGACGTGCAAACATCGCCTTAGAGCCCATAAGCCGGCTTAATCCTCCGCAGGCCTCTCACGCCTCCTTAATGTCACTTCAACACGCGCGTCGTGGCTGCTGACCTATACGTGGACTCCTTACCACTGGACGGTCCATTGTGTCGCATCTGATCGGAAATCGTACGCTGTTGGAGGCACGGACATCCCTCGAGACACTTGGCGACTCTGAAAGAAATTTCGTAGGATCAGAGGTCACTTTGGTAGCTCCAAACGAGGATGATCCTCGTTTACATTACATGTGCTTTTTTCTTTTTATAGCAAAAGTTCGGTTTTTTTTTAGATAGACCGTGTATATATCAATACATTTCATATTTCATGGCAATCATTTGCGTCTAAACCATCACGATGGTTTAAAGGCACGCATTGGCTGTCGCGTCACGGTATGCAACATTCCCGTAACGTGACGTACAAATACTACTTTAGCTGCCTTAATCTGGCCCGGTGCCTGGTAAGCTTCCGCGTGTGTCTCGCCCCCGATGCCATTACAGATCATACGTTACATGTTACTTCACCTGGAAATCGGCTTCGGAACTACATCTACGGTCGCGTGGCTCGACAAGCGCGACAGAGAGACGTATTTATGCACGTGTGTTTACCTATTAGCGACACGTCGCAGTGGCCGCTTTGCCAGCCGGTGGCTTCCCGCGATTATTGGCTGCTCGCAGTTGATTACCGCTTCGATCCACGGTGAAATTGGAATTCGGTGCCCCGGCAGGCGTACTTTGACGTCTTTCCAGCGCTGGGTAGACGCTAATTGACTCGCGATGACGTCGGCGCTGAGCCTTATGATTCGGGCAACTTTTGATGAACCCGGAACACGCTTGGCGAAATTTCCCTTGCTGAGTTCGTACTTTAGCTAGAGTTCGTGCAACGTTGTCTTCATCTGATTACCTAATTCATTCATTTGTGTATTTCTTCCTCGACATTTTTTAGGTTCGAAAAGAGTACTTCGACAACACTTTCGATTGCTAGTGTTGAAACTTTTCAATCTTCGTGTCGAGCAATTATATCGCAAAGTGGATTAATCGAGCTGGCGTCGATTATTTTCGTAGCAATAAAGTCGAGTAATTCTTTGGCCATGGATCGTGATTGTCGTAATTGGTTGAGGAGTTGCCGGATCGACTCCACAGGAACCGGAAGCCCGGTGGATCGGCGCGCGAAACTTCGTAGACCTGCTTATTAACTTATTGCGTCTTCTAAGTTCCCGCTAAACTGATATTAATTACCGTGCTCTCCGGCGCTCTAACTTTGCCCGCCTTGTAGTCGTCCCCCTTCTCGACCCACTTTAAAATTTCTCTCCCTTTTATTCGTCACGCTCAGCTTCCCGCGCCCTTTTCGAGGATCTCCTCCGCGCCCTCGAGGGTCACTCGACGTTCTTGTTAACGGTCAGATCGCAATTTCAGTCGGAAACTCCTTTCTTAAATTTACATTTTTGAATAGAACCTTCGAGTTAGCGAACGAAAGGGGCAAAATTATTGTCTAGATACCGACACGTTTTATATAGTACTTGAATTAAAGATCGAAGCTAAATCCTCTGTAAAATACTATGAACAACAACGATATATCCAAATCCTAGCCAAGTCGAAAATGCCACTCCAGAAAGTAACCGATTCGGTATGTAAAGTATCTTCGACAACCTAATCCGTTTACCCCGAACTACCCCCAGTGAATTCGAGCCAAATCGACCTGGTTGTCTGAAGCGAGCTGTACGTCCGCCGAATTTCACGTACAAACGAGCTACATACACGGATAAAGAAAACCAGAATAGCGTTGCGAAAACCGCAAAACCAATACCGACGTGCAAGGATCTTTCACGGAGAAAATATTTCCCACCAGACGCTCCTCCAGGAGCCTTATATACGATCGGGGATCCGGTACGGTAAACATGATTCTCCTTATTCGGCCAACATGTCCCTGGTGGTGTGTCCGAAAATACGGCGGATCGTTAATGCGTCGAACGAGTAGCGTCGAAACTCTTCGCTTGCGATTGATACCGACCCC